CGATAAGGTAGCAGCCCAAGGAGAGGACAATTCAAAATCACTTCGGTTATTGTTTTACTACCTGTCAGCCTGGTGCTGCTTTATGATGGAAAAAACTGAAGGTGGGGACAAAACAAAACCCCACATTATTGTCTGTTCAAAGTTAAGAGTCCACAGCTCCAATTTTACTGACTGTAACTAAAACAACGTGATCATTGCACTTAATCTTCACTCAAACAAGTGTGTAAACAGATTAAACATCACTCTAATAACAAGAGCAAAAATAAATAATAAGAATTAGTCAGATTTTCTGAGCATCATGTGGAGATCAGCCTCTCGCTCCTGCAGGGAGCAGTTTTTATCACTTCTCTCGTCATGTCGAAACAAAAGCTGCGCTCTCCTTTCTTCTGTCCATCGACCCAGAGCTAATCCACGGGATGTCAAAACTGTAAGCGTGGTGTCCTCGCTTCTGCCAGCTTAGAATCACCGACCGGACCAGAGAGGAGGTTCCGAAACAGCGCGGCTGTGTGCGGTCACTGGACCGAGGCTGAACGAACCGAGCCGAACCGCAAAGCTGCTGCCAGGGTGGAGAGTATTGTCGCTCCGGTTTGAAATGTTCACGGTTCTGTGCCCCCTCGGAAAACTTGTGCATGACAACTTTGCACTTAGCTTCAACTCTGTTTCTGATGAAAATAGAAAGTTCTGCCGACATTCTTGCTAACTTTTTAGCGCTGCATGTTGTTGTGATCACGTGAGCTCTGCATGCTGGATCCAAGTGCTGCTGGATAGAAACACTGGAGTGGAGTCAGTGAACTGCTGGAACGGACTGCTAATATCGGAGCGCTTATTTCGGACATTTTTTATGCAGGCCGATAAAATCAGATACTCATTTTTTGGCTGAAATCGGACCGATATCCGATATCATTATTGGATTGGGACACCCCTACAAATAATCATAGCTTGTTATGTAAGTACGTATGCTACGAAAACATGATAGTGATATAAAGGTTTATAAGACAACATTACTCAAAACCGCCGTTAAACCTTGGATTGGAGCTGTTAAAAATCAGCAGTGATTCACTGTGTTTAGATTAGACATCAGTCCTGTCAGACTGAAACTCTGTTTAACTGAGGTCGTTCAAACAGTTAGCTACAACTGGTAACATTTTAATTGTTCACAATTTTTACCCAAGAAGCCCACTTCACACAGGTTGAAATATTCCTGTAAGCAAAACATGTTTGTCAGGAGAAATGTGTTGTTTTTCTACATTCTTGTCACACAGGTTGAGCATGCCCAACATGGAGGATCTAAAGAGACGAATCCTTAAAATAGTGTCAAACTGCAGTAAGCCTAAAGTAAGAACCGTCCATGGTTTGTGTGACGTGTGAGCGTTGGTTGTGGCGCCATCTGAGGTGGCTGTTTGTGTTGCAGTACTGCATCCTGCTGCGGGGGTGTTGGTATGAGCTGTTCGGAGGAGATCCAGACGACTTCCCCACCGAGATGGACTGCAGGAGGGAGCACCAGCTTAGCCAGCCGCTGCTAGGGGAGGAGTCGCTGATGATTCGCCCCTCATCGTCCTATCAGAGCCTGGCGTCGGATGACTCCCCAGCCCACACAGCTCCACACCTGCCCCTCTTCCTGCCTGGGCGCATTCTGCACATCACAGAAGACGGACCGTCGAGGAGGTCGGTCCGTTAGTATTTGATATCTGGAATTACTTAGATTGTCATCATTAACGCCCTCTAGTGATAAATAGAATGACATGGTTATTAGCTGTACTCTACAAACACAGGCAGAAGATGACAACCTATCTGTTTGTGGTTTGTACTGCACACATTAGCTGATGTTTCAGCTCCGTGTTTCCTCATGATGAAATCTGCTCCAGCCAGTTTGATTAGAAATGTTTTTGCTGCTCGTATTTAAACCAACAACTCTGAACTTGTGCCTCATTTCTAAAATCTTAACATCTGGTTTGACCTTTCAGCTTTTACTGCTTGAACATCCGCTGAACCTTTGATTCTTTAGCTTCATTTGTGCACACTGATACCAAAGTGTTCAAATGATCACAGTTTTGACTGAAACCTCAGAAGAAAATGTGTCCTTTGATGCTGAAACAACTAAACAATTGAAGCAGCTGCTTTAAAATGTTTACTACTTTTTACTGCAAACATCCTTAATCTTAATGGAAACAGCAAAATTTAAACAAGAAACACATAAACTTCTGATATCTCTTAGTTTTCAGTTCACCGTTAACATTGAGAGTATACATTTATTTGGTCATAATTCTAATACTTTTTAAATGTATATTTACAAAAAACTATAGTTTTACCAATGAGGGGTGTTGTGGAATACTTATTTTCTGTATCACCTTGACACTGACCATTGTTCATATCTCATGATATCGTCTGAACGTCAGCATTAAGCTGAACTACTTCATGTACCAGAACGAGGCAGATTCTGATTGGTTGTTCATTATCACATGATGATAGCTGAAGGTATAACAGTTCTCTTCCGCCCTCAGTCGGGGGCCCACATCTAACAGACTTCGTGATTGCTTTCTGTTCCATGTCTGCCCATAATAAATTATTTTACGAACATACCCCGCAAGACTATTTGTCTCTTTAACACTCTCGCTGTGTTTCTGACCATTTTTGCCACGACAAGGGGAAAAAACACATTTCCAGCAGTTTGTTTTACATTGCATTATTTTCAAACTGTGCTGCATCTATTTTCTTTTCAAAACATATTTATATTCTTCTGTTTTCTACAAAAACGTCAGTGTAAAATCATCAGATTTGGGTCTTGTGGCTGCTGGTTTTAGTGGAAGCTGATCCATGTGGAAAATGTTTGTACACAACTACTATAATTTATGTTGTGGTTTTGAACAGCATCAGTTTGAAGAAAGGGATGGGATTTTTAGTGTTAACAAGTATGTGAACAGGTAAACCTAATACAAGTTATTTTGAGACAAAATGACAGTCTTTTAGATTTGGTTATTTTCATATGGAAGAAAAATAGTCTCATTGGAATCTGAATATTTTTAGACTGAATTTATGACATTGAATTTTTATCCTCTGAAATTATCTGTGAATTCTTTTTTTTACTTCAAATTTACTGGCAAAATTTCACCTGCAACATTTCAAGTGAAGAAATTCGCCAGAAAAAAAATCAACTACAGTAATTCACCTTTAAAAATTCACCTGAAAATATTCAGCTGCAGAAATTCACTGTAAAAATATGTTGACCTCCTGGTGACCCAGGCCAAAGCAATCAATACAAGATCAAAAGGAAAAAAAATTGTATAGGTCTAGATGTAGGAATAAGATATAGAATACTAGATCAAGTCGAGTAGCTTTTAGCCAATCAAGTTGCGCTCATTTGATCACGTGACACACCAACTCGAGGTCAGAGGTGACTATTTTTTTAGCTTTAACAGTTAGCTGGTCAGTGGCTTAAAGAAGATAAGCGAGGGGCATTTTTTGCTAAACAAAGATGATCATAAACGCTATAGGTACCGACTGACAGCCWGTTCTATTATGCTTTTCTGATGGGTGTGCTATTCTGTCAGAACACCGGGTCTGCCTCTTCTGTCTGTGCAGAGAACTGGTGGTGCGCAGTCCACTGGTGGTGCGCAGTCCACTGGTGGTGCGCAGTCCACTGGTGGTGCGCAGACCACTAGCTGAGATCCGGTTAGATGAGGGAAAAAAAGAAGAAGAAAAAAAACCCCACCCTGAAACTCAACTGGCTGTCAGTCGGTACCTATAGCGTTTATGATCATCTTTGTTTAGCAGAAAATGCCCCTCGCTTATCTTCTTTAAGCCACTGACCAGCTAACTGTTAAAGCTAAAAAATAAATAAAAAAGTCACCTCTGACCTCGAGCTGGTGTGTCACGTGATCAAATGAGYGYAACTTGATTGGCTAAAAGCTGCTCGACTTGATCTARTATTGATTGCTTTGGCCTGGGTCACCAGGAGGTCAACATATTTTTACAGCGAATTCCTGCAGCTGAATTTCWGTAGTTGAATATTTTCAGGTGAATTTTTAAAGGTGAATTACTGTAGTTGAATATTTTTCTGGCAAATTTCTTCAGCTGAAATGTTGCAGGTGAAATATTGCCAGCAAATTTGAAGTAAAAAAAATTCACATAGATAATTTCAGATGATAAAAATTCAATGTCATAAATTCAGTGTCGAAAAATATTCAGATTSCAATGAGACTATTTTTCTTCCATATTTTCACAGACAAGACCACATGTTGCTGAAGGTTTTTGTTATTTGAGTTGGACAATTAAAACTCAACCTATTTTGTTGTATTTTTATTGTTTTGACTGGGATAAATTGTGCACATTTGCTCTTTAAAATTAAGTAGTTTCTCTTTGAARCAGCTTGGCTTTTGGCTTCAGAGTSTCCTGTTTTCTGTCAGTKTCCTACTTCTGCTGTCAGATTTTCTGGCCTTTTAGCCCCGAGAAAAATATATTTTCTTCAGATGTTTTCAGCCTCCTGACTGGAGATGCTGACAGTCACATGAACAGTTGTGCTTCTGTGTCTCCAAGGTAGAAACAAACTGAACACCGAGTTTCTTTCTTTGTCTCTCTCTCTCTCTCCTCCTTCAGATCCTGTTTCTCCCAAGTTCGTTACCGTGCAGAGTGGTCTAATGAAATGGCGTTCCGGAGTATTTTGATCAGTCCCAAGATGCTCACGGATCACATGCCCGACGCTGTGCTCCGGGCCCTCAATAATCTGTGCACCGACAGCTCCTCTCTCCTCTGCTCGTCGTCCTCGAACAACAACCTGCACAACACTATCTGAGGACGCACAGATTGGACTCAGTCATGTGTCAGACTCAACTATTTCTGAAACAAACTTTTGTTTACGTGTCATATCAGATTCAAGCCACATCCTTGAACCCATAATCCCAATTTTTTCCTTTTTTCACTCTTGGTCCCATGCCTGATAATTGGGCTATTCCAAATCTGCAAACATTTGTATTTGATTGTAACGGTCATGAAGTATTGGGCGTTATGCAGTTTCCTGTTTGGGTTTTTAAAAGTGATTCTGATTTGTAAAGAGAAAACCAAATTAGAGCACAGAGGCATTGTTCAGTTGCACTTTTTATAATTTAAAAAAAAAAGAAAATGAGCCTTTATGCCGTGATATTTAAATGTGTGATATCTATAACCTAAACCTTTTGTCAGTTTTGTGTCGTGTGAGAGGACACTGCAAGTCTGTGCTGGCTGCTGAGGAGGATTTAATTCTCATCGGCAGTGCAAAGATGTAGGAATAACTCATGGTGCTGTGTGGTAATTGTAGTTCGAGTCTTGTGTTTACTGTTTTGAGACATCAGGGTGAGCAGTGCCTATGCATTATGGACAAAAGGAAAACAGAAACCATTTCATTACAGAAAGRCAGTGAGTGCAGTTTGTTTACAGTGAGTTATGCAAGTACAATATGCCCAAACCTGACCGAAAAAGTCAAAAGATTGTGCTATACATTTTCCTCAAGGGAAGTTTATATTAATTTTTTTTGCCTGCTTAACTATTTCATATCCTCTTATGAATGCATTTAATGCAAATAAAGCATTTGTGAACTACACTCGCCCTATTTTTTAAGCATTAATCTGATTTTCACAAGGATGGAGTCAGCAACTTGCATAGCCATGGGAAGGGGAATTACATCGGGGGACTACGAGAACGCGTAATCAGTCAGGAATGTGACACGATAGGAACTTTATTTCCCTTATCAACAAGTCATTATTCCTGACTTGTGTTATTTCTTGTCATTCACAGCACCCACATTTCCCATGACCTTGACAACTTGATAAACAGCCCACTAAACTCAACAAAGTTTACTAAGCTTTTAAAAACGTGATTTATCTTTATACTGAACCCCTGTAAGTTAAAYATCAAACGGTAATTCTAAGATATTTCCATTAAAGACTTGTTTTCTATTGTTTTTATCCTACCCTGTCTTTTTTAGCCAGTGACATCAGCGTGACACGTGATATGTTCAAATGTTGTTGGAAACCCGTAATTAACGACTTAAAAAAGGCAAATGACACTACGTTTAAGTCATGTGGTATCAACATTGCCTTAAATATATCTAGTCGTATTTTGTTAATTAATGCAKGGTTTAGAAAAMGTTTTTGTTTGTTTTGTTTTTACAATTATTTGCTACAATGAAGTTAGGGAAATGTGTACAAAACCAAATAAAACGTGAGGCTAAAWTGAGCAGAAACGCATCATTGGAACAGGAAGGTAAACATGCAATTGAACAACACATCATGGATTTGCTTGACGCGTATTTCTCTCCACCCTCCAAACGTCACCTAACTGGGTAGTTTATATGAACAATACCACCCATACTTCTTTACTGCGCCGAAGTTTGTTTCTTTGTGCTATTTTCTACTTTGTTTAGAGTTGAACAGGGTTTATTTTCAGAATTCCGACAGCACTTGAACGCAGCAGAAGCTCATCTGTTGGACAGGGAAACTAATCAGGAGCCAAGTAAAGTCTTCTCAACAGTGCTGGCTACTCGGCTAGCGCGGCTTTAAAAGTCAGCTGTCACTACGAAAAAATGATTTCAGCCTTACTTTAAATGAAGTACAGCCATTCCTCTGCACATGGAGCAACTTTCGAGACATGTTTTCGTAGCGGAGTTCTTTCGTTTCGCCTGAAGAACAGGGGCGAACAGCTTTCGTCCAGCCGAAGCTTGCGGCTAGCTCCCTGTTAGCCGGGGAAGAAGTGCCAGCGGAGGCAGGAAAATGGAGCTGGACGACGTAGTCCTGTATCAGGACGAGTCGGGCGACTCCAGCGTGATGTCCGAGCGGGTCTCGGGTCTGGCCAGCTCGATATACCGCGAGTTCGAGCGGCTCATCGAGAAGTACGACGAGGACGTGGTGAAAGAGCTGATGCCGCTGATCGTCGGCTTGCTGGAGAACCTGGACTCGGTGTTCGCCGCCAACAAGGAGCACGAAGTGGAGCTGGAACTGCTGAAGGAGGACAACGAGCAGCTGGTCACCCAGTATGAACGAGAGAAAGCGCTGAGAAAACACGTAGAGGAGGTGGGTTTTCCTGCTGCAGAGCTGTCTGACTTCTGACTAGGATTAAAAAGTTTAGCATGATCCGCTTTGCGTTAAAAAGACGTCTTTCTGACTTGTCTCCCTGGTTCAGTTAACCTCCTAAAGTCAGATTAAAACATCACAGTTTAACTATTTACTCGCCATTACACACACCTAAAGTTACATTTCTGAAGAGAACTTRCAATTATAAATACTGAGATTATTCAGTAAATGTGAACTTTAATTAAATGTTTTTGTTTACAGTGAGTTTGTTGTGTTGTCTCAGTGACTGTCCTCCATTTGGAGCCTAATTTACTGGTTTATTCCCAGTTTTATCACACAGTCCAAAGTAGATTGAGTCACTGACAACCATAGAAGTATAATTCTTCTTAAAACATGTACTTAAAGTGTATGTGTTAAACATTTAAATGAATGTATAAAGGTTAAAATAGGTTAGTTATGCTTTATTGAGATTTTAATGGTTAAGTAGGGAGAGATGTCAGGAAGACATCTTTATTTTATGTCAGAGTAAAGTCTCGTTTAAATAAAAGGACTAGTTCAGGTGTGTTAACATTTTCATAAGAGTTATGCTAAAGCAAATTATTTCAATTAAAAGAGCTGAAAGACATGTCACACAGTGCTGTGTTGAGGATTTCTGACGGTCAGTTTTTAGGTGCACTCTGAATTTTTTGCTCCAAGTTCACATCAGTAAGTGTGGATCTTGAAAGACTGAAACCTCAGTCGTTAAGTTTATGCAAACCAGACAGAAGTTTGTTTTTCAGATCGCTTCCTGTTTGAATCTCAGCTGCACTGCTCCTGTATTTGATCCAGTCCAGGATCTACAACACTGTTATCATGATCCTTATCAACACAGTAGTTTGTTCCAGCATYAGTGATAAATTTACTCTTGTTTAGAACCTGTGCTCTCATTTAAAGGCTGATTTTCTGATCCATCTACATTGTTCATCTGATCTGAAAAAAAAAGTGACTTTTTGAAAAGATGTGTTGTTTTTTTACATTCCCCTCTCCTACACTTTCTTTACCCTTATACAGGGGGTAAAATAAGTATTGAACACGTCACCATTTTCTCAGTAAATATATTACTAGAGGTGCTAATGACATGAAATTTTCACCAGATGTTGGTAACAACCCAAGTGATCCATACATAC